GCCAAATCCCTGAGGACTTGGACCATAACTAGAAAGTGATGGTTGGGGTAGGGAAGGTGCTGAAGCACCAATACCTCCTGTTTCAAAGCCAAAGGCATTTGGTAGAATGTTCGATGGAGGTGCTACTGGTTGAGATGGATACATGCCAGCACTAGCTAGACCATGTGTGTTGGTTACATTATAGTTAAAATGAGCACCAGCTGCTATTTGCTGTGGTTCTTGATATCGTTGTAGACCAGTTTGTCCGTAAATTAGTGGTCCTTGTTGTTGAATTCCACTGTTATTATTTAATTGATAGTAATTATTACTAGTATTATATCCTTGTCCTGATTGTCCATAACCAGCTCCATAAACACCATAACCAGCTGCAGGTACATTTGCACCGCTTAAACTTCCGTATGAATTAAGTGTTTCTTGCTGTTGATATTCATGAATTTTACTACGAGGTGGTACGCGTATTACTTTGCGAATAGTTTGAGGTGGTGAAGATGGCTCAATAATAGTGCGTTCTTGAAGACGAGGTGGTGGTGTTGTTGGTTGTTCAATAATTTCTTCTATAACATCATTTAATTGACGACGAACGTAAACACGTTCGAGAGTGTCTGGTTCCGGTGTAGCTAATCGATGTCGTACTTGTCGTACAACACTTGGTTGATCTGGTAAACGAATGGTTTGATGACGATAAGATCCCTGACGACGACGGCGATATATATCACTGGATTCATCAACAACAGCTTCATTGCCATAGTAAAATTCATCGTAACCACCAGAATTACCATAACGATCATGAGCACCACCATTACGTGCACTATAGTGATGTTGTTCGCCATAAATATAGTTGCCGGTACCTGCTGCTGTTCTGCCACGTGTATGAAAATTAGAATCGGCTGAATGATGTTTGTTACTATATGAGCTTCGTGAACTGATACTGGCTGGCGTTCTTGAATATTTTTTATATCTCTTATGACCATGATCACCATGAATATGTTGCTTAATATCACCTACAGCTCTGCTGGTGCTCTCTGGTTGTTTGGCAGATGATTCGTAAGTTTCCGTTTGTGTTGTATTTTGATTAAAAAGACCCATTCCTGTGTGGGTTTACTCATACTATTTCTGATTTATGAATACGAGAATATTTAAGGACATAAGAAGGGAGTACTAAAATGTACGAGACGATCGATTAGTTTTAGGTATTGGAATGATAAAATTTTGAACAATAACTCGATTCAATTCTCTCGATGACAAGCACTACTTAAGTTGTACAATCACCTCTTTACAATCTAAGCTTCTCGTCATTCTTTTCTTTTTGTGTCTCTCGTCTTTTCTATTCCTTTCTATATGTATGAATAGACAGTCATGAACATATAATTCATGTATTAGTACTATTAGTGACGGTGGTGATGATGGCGACAGTGGTAATATGATAAAAGACTGAGTAACAAGGAAAAAAATTGCTCACAATGCTTACCTAGATTTAAATGAATTAGAAGTTGCGTATATTAACGATCACAAACAGCTGAATATGAAACAAACTGATGCAGAACCGTTGTATTTATACTATAGTTAGCTTTTGACCATGAGCATCGTTTTTTTCGTATTTGACCCTGATCAGTCTCAAAGTAATACATGCGAAAAAAAACTGGATCCAAAAATTGAAGGGCATTCATGAATATCTGTGCTTATTCAACCAGATCAAGGTTTAAGAAGACAATTGAAGACATGCCAATAACTTTCACTTGTTCTTTACTTTGTCATTAATACATGATAGGGAATCCAATAAATAAAAACCTTCTTTTTTAATTGGAGCGATACATATACAAATACAAACAAATGTATATTGCCTGATCGATATGATCACTTTTGATCATGTGCAAAGCACAGACGTTAGTTAAATAAGCATACACATGTATACGTGACTTTGAACGAGAACAAAAAGAAACGTCCATGAACATATCTGAAGATGATTGATGCGACAATGCTAATGAATAGATTTCATATGAATACCGATATCTTACTATTGTATAATACATATACATTGATACATAAATAAACAAAAGCAATGACAGACTCTTAAAGAAAAAGAAGGTTATCTCATCATATCAAGAAAGATAAGGAAAAAAAAGCTGATTTAAAGCTTTTTGTTATGTACCAATAACTTGAGTCAAAGCATGGACCAAGTAAGTTTCATCATTATACATTATGACTTAAGTAATTAAGAGACTCTCCATGAGTATATCGAGGATCATCTCAGTATACGATACCCATTAAAATGTGAACTTTTTACTTTTAATATGCACCGAAAGCCCATCATTAAAAACCACTAAACATAAATGTTTAACTAATTTCGATATTTTATGGTTAAGTTACCCTTGATCGATTTTTCAACACTATCTATCTACTATCAACAAAATAGTGATAAATTCTCGCAGCAATACCTACTAAGATTATATTTTCAGAAATCAGATAGTTTTTTCATGCAATATACCAAAACATAGATCATTAAGAACTAAAAAAAATGATATATTTAAAATATTCTATGTCATTTATTTACTGATCCAAAATGAGTAGTGAAGGTCACAATTTAACAAGCTATCATATATATGTTTTTTGACACTTTATCTACTACCATTTATCGAAATTAAACGAAACCAAACTAAATTTTTAGCAAGTTATTTAAATTTTGACTCTTTACAAAATAATGAAACTGTATCGCAAAAAGATAAGTTCACCTTCAAAGCAATATGAGGGCTATTCTATTAAATAGACAGGTAAACAGACTCAAGGAAAACGATCACGAGCATTTGTTTGTGTCATTCATTCATGATAATTTTGTTATTGACAAAAGTAGAAGTTCATCCTGGCTAGAATTACATAGATTGTTCTTTCGAAAAACTAACCAAAAAAGTAATAAATTTTGGTTCCCTGCATCTTCTAAGAGGAAAAGCCCAAACATTTTCCAAAAATATTTTTTTCCAAAATCGAATTATAATCATCTATATCGATAAAGTATGGGACGTTGATTACAGCGATATCATTGAAGTTAAGTATCGATAGTAATCTAGTAGTATTTCGAGTATTCTTTTAATAGAAAATAGGAGGATATATGATAACTATTCGACATTAAGACGTCAAGCTTAATACACTAAATTATAATTAATAATAACCTTGAATCACATGATTGTGTCTAGTTCCTATACTTCACCGATGAGAATGATTATTATGCAATTTCGAAAAAGAAAGTTTTTTTTTGTTTTTGGAAAGCTGTCTGATCTCCTTCAGGCGATGTAGAAAGTCAAAATTTATTTTGTTGTTTTTCGAAAGAATTATCTATATAAGTCTAATTAGAATGAAGTTCGAATTTTGTCAATAAGACAAACTGTCATGAATGACAGATACAAAAAAAAAACTACTCGTGATCGTTTTCCTTGGGACTGTCTTTACCTGTCTAATGATAGTAGAGTAATCCTTATATTACATTGAAGGTAAACTTTTTTATATTCAATAATTCTTTATTATTTTATAGACGATCAAATTTTGAAGAACATGTCAATATTTCAGTTTGGCTTTGTTTGATTTAGAAAAATGGCACTATATATACATGCAACGAATAAATATATAATAGACTGTTAAATTGTGACTTTCACTATATATATGGAATCAATAAATAAATGACATACAATATTTTAAATTGTTTATTATTTTTTTCAGTGATTGATATTAAATCTTTTGAAATATTACATAAAAAAAATATTCTCTAACTCGTGAAAGTATAATCCTTGTAGGTATATCTATATATGTATATGCGATAATTAAAGACTATTTCAATGATAGTAGGTAGACAGTGCTGTGAAAATTGATCAAGGTTAACGTGACTATAAAACATCGAAATTAGCTAATCATACAGGGTTTGGTGGGTCTAATGATGGCCTTTCAAATGCCTATAAAAAAAAGAAATATCACAAATTAAAATTTAAACTAGTCTCTCTCGATTCCTTCTCTCCATAATGAGTATTCTCTCTTAATTAATGACCAAAACTATAACAATATATTGATTTCATTTCATTATCTTATTGTTTCCTTTCTTTTGTTTGATGAATAGTTCTTTGTCGGAAATATATTCATAATATCAATCATATATTCTCATACAACTCAATAATGTATATCATAAAAATAAATTTGTCATTATTTATAGAATATTTAACATACATCGAGAGTAAATTCATTACATTAGATACTATTCACGCTTTAATTAGTGTCCATGACTGACATATGATAAAAAAAAAGTACTGTTTCATATGCATCTATCTAATACATAACAGGGATACTCGATTTTTTTTTCTCAATTCAAAGATAAGAAGAAAAAAAAAGAAGAACCTATGCTTATACATTGTAGAAGGACACTTCAGAGTATAAAAAAAAACACGTAAACACATTCATAACAACCATATATAGTTATCATAAGATAGTCATGCTTGCGTGATTGCGGTAAACAAAAAATATTCACTGGTATACCTTATTGAGAAAGAATATCTTCATCACATACTATATCTATCCACCAAATATTTCTTTCATCAAACTAATAGTCTCAAATGGCATGTACATGCTGCAGTACTGTATGTTGTGATCCTTGTGCTAGCTATACTACATATATACCTTGTTGCAATGCACCAATAACTCTTGATTGTAGTTATCAACAACGACGTTATCAAGAAATTTATTATGCACCTGAACCTGCACCACAAATTCAAGTCGTACGACAACGATTACCTGATCCACCACCTGATGTGATCGATCGAGTTGTTGTTGTTCCTCAACCAAAAAAATATGTTTATCAAGTTGTCGAAATACCAACAAAACCACCACCAGTTATTCAACAACGTGTAGTTCATGAATCTCCTAATGTACCAGTATGTGGTGGTACTTATCATGTTCAAGTACCACATAATTCAATCGTACAAACACCAAAATTAGTACAAACTGCATCATACACTTAACAAGTATCAATGTGTTAGACATAATCTATTTCTATTATTTCTATCTAGAAACTCTTTATCGTTTTTTTTTAAATTACTAACTTGTTTTTGACAATGGATGGTTCGTTGACGTTCATAGCTTTGTTTATTAGCTGGCGAAGACGGATAACTCATATTAACAGTGACATTGACTGATTGATGAAAATCATCTTCAATAAATAATATTAAGTTTTCTTTTTCTCTTTCGAATAATATATAAATAAAGTTTTCTTTTTACCATTGATATCAGTTGTTGTTTTCATAGTTAACCAAAGACGTTGATAAAATTTATCAAGATCACCCGATTTAATTTCATAAGGACCAGACTAAATGAAAAACACAGTTTCGAATGAAAAATTTTTTTTTTTAAATAATATTATTTTACTATTTGTTTTTGTTGATTGTTGAATTCATAATCAGTCGAATGAATTGTAGAAGGACCGGCAATACCAATTAAAATAGTAATAAATAAACAAATAAAGAAGAGAACAAAAACAGCTACAAATTGACGTTTATGTAATGCATATAAACGCATTTGTACTGATCTAAATTAAAAAGAAAAATAAATAATTTTAAGATTTTTTTTTTTAAGTTTATGCATTTAGGGAACGAACATATCCAACTGTCACACGTCATTTAACTACGGATTATGGCTAAGAGCAGGACTTATTGAGGCTGAGCAAACTTTAAAATAAGTCGCGCCGTTGACTTACTATCGAAGAGCTATGATAGTTTTAATGAAATTTTTATTGACAACAAGATGTTTTCGAAAAGTCCAAAACAAACATTTTCGAGCTGAAATTATGTTCAGAGTTTACCATTGAATCTACCTGGAAATAGAATATCTCGATAAAGACATGTTCCTTTTTATTAAAACTTTTAGGACTATTAAACTTATGTATGAATATAATTTCAGCTTGAAACTTTTTATTTTGAATTTTTTGAAAATACCTTGTCGAGAGTAAAAAATTAAGTAAAATGATTATAACTCTTCAAAAGTATGCCACGGGGTACGAATCATTCTACGCTTTATTTTAGTTTCATCGAGAACTATTCGTAGCCACAATGTGAAGTCAGATGATAGCCGATAGTTGGATATGTTCTCTCGTATGTCTCTTATTTCTTATTATAAATCTATTTTATTAGACATCGATCCGATTTACCAAAAGATAAATTTTAGATTTTACAAATGTCTACTTTCTACATCATGATTTGAACAATTTTTTATATATTCAAAAGCATAGATTCAGCGTAGTATTGATTTGTTGTTTACGATATCAGACATTTAACTTACATCCAAATAGTAGTTTCATTATTTCACGAAGTTTTCTATTAAATGTATGCTTTACTGAAATTTCATAAATGAAATATGAGAGTAAGGTTTCAAACCTTGCATAACATGAGCAGTCCTTGCATTTCTTATGATTTTCTCTTAACACTTTTAAAAATATTTAAGTTCTGAAATAGGCACATTTTTTTTCATATTTCTTAACTTTTAAATAAATCTCGAACACGAAATGATATCGAGGTGTAATTTTCGCTATGACATAGATGACACTTAGATATACACGTCTATGTAAAATATCGTAATACGAGCAAGGTCAATCAGATAGTAAATTTGATAAGTCTAGAAATGACTACCATCAATGCATCGTTTTTAGGTATTCTATTGAAAGCCAAAACATTGTACATTAATTTTCAAGATTTGAAAAAGAAATAGTTTCGATAGAAATATATCAATAGTGTATAATAAATATCTTAATTATAAAGTTATAATGAAATTTTTTCATGAGTAGAGTCATGCTATTTAAAGGGCTGCAAATATTATAAACATCACAATAAACATAAAAATGAGTTTCTTTTTGGTCAATTACTTTGATAATTTTCGTATTGTGATGTTATGTAATTTTTTTGAGGACATACGGTGATCACAACAAGGTTTTACGATGTTTAACATGATACTCTGTTAAAATAATTTTCACAATTTAATAGAAAAATATTTATGTTGTAAGACAAAGAAAATCTTTTAATTTTTATATTTATAATGTTCGAACAAAACATGAGATAACATTCGTTCTAAATTTAGATTTCTCTTAATCTACAAATAGAATTTTTTGAATTCGATCAATATTTCATCAAGGTTAAACAAGATAAGTTGAACATTCTTTTTCTCAGAAGTAATGAACGAAAAGAAAATATTATCTTTGATTCAATTTGATTCTTTTCTAAGAATTAACTATTAAAAATTTACATAAAATCTCATATTTACCTTTCAATTTCTTTCGTTTCTCCCATTTTTCTTGAATTTAAAAAACAAATGAATAAACACTCAGATCTAAAACTTGAAATAATAATAAAAAAAACAGAATCAATCTGTAATCACAAATGCTTTTATTAATTATTTTAATATATAAAATCACAGATAAAAAAAAACAACAACAACAACAAATTCTCAAAGTTTACTACGTTCAATTAAATCTTGTTTTATCCATGGTGGTGTTAAAAATGTATGTTTATTACTATGTATTTGTTTATTAATCGCTTCGTAAACCTAAAACAATATGAAAAATGCTTAAAATATATTTAAAAACAAAGAATAAAAAGAAATTTTTTTACCTTTCCATCACTAACACCTAAAACTGAATTAAGTATATGATCAGGTGGTGCAAAAACATCTACTAAAGCAGCAGCTTCATTTCGTAAATCATGACATAAATCAATTAAACGATTTTGTATCCATATACTAATTAAACCATTATTAAAATAATTTCCTTCAAATAATAAATTTAAATTTTCTTCAAGAAATTTTAATATATGAACAATTAATAATTTATTAAGAACATTTTTACATTTATTATCCATTTCTTCATGATTTTCAATATATTGTAAAAATCGAACAATAGCTGTACGCTAGGAAACAAAAAAAAATTCGAAAAATTGTTTTTCTTTTTTCTTGATTTAGAAATTTTTTACTTGAATATAAATAATTGATAATGTTCGAAGATAATAAACTTGTGCTGCATTTTTTAAATCAAATGATGTTAAATATTTTTGTATAGTTAATTGATCAATTTTTCTAGCCGATTTCTCAAGAATATAACATAATAGCCAATCAACAGCATTGAGTAAGTCTATTTAAATAAGGAAAACATTTATTAAATTTTGAAAAATTATTTATTATTCGGCCGAAAATAATTTCGTCTTCGATTAATATTATCAATAGTTAACGGAAGGATGAAATTGATAAAAAAAGAAAATAGTTTGTCCTAGGACAAAAACCTTCGATTCTAATCTGATTAATGATATAAAAAAATGAAATTTATCATTAATATAGAAAAATTTTATCACTTTTTTAATGGTTAAAATCTCTTTCATCAATTTTAATTTTATTGCAAAATAATCCTATTATAACTGAAATAATTTTCATTTCGTATAATTGAATTTAAATGTTTAAAAGTAACGATTAAATAGTTGTTATTTTTAATATTCATAGGACTTGATAAACATTGAAAATTTCTTGGTTATGACAGGGGCGTAGCCAGGGGTGTGCACAGTGCCCGGGCACCTCCCTTGGCTCAAAAATATCTGGAGGGGGGGGGGAGGTACGGACGAAAATATCTTTTTGAGAAACAAAAATTTATTTTGCTGTTGGTGGGCACCCCCTATAATGTGTCGGGCACCCTTCTTGGAAAATTCCTGACTACGCCACTGGATTATGATCAAATATACTATGCATCGAGTTCAGAAAGTTATTCTTTTAATAGAGCTAGTTCATTACAACATATCTATGCAGCTTCAGCTACATGGTATAAAATAGAACAAATACAGATTTAACGAGCAAGTTTGAATGAGTTGCTTAGTAATAATATATCATATAAATGGAATTAGTAACTAAAATCAGTTCAGTTCTTTTAATTGAAAACTGTCATATATCTAAAGAAATTAACATAATTAATTATTGACCAATATTTTTTTTCAAGAAGATTTGTCTCGTAAAATAATTGAAATAAAATAGTTCATTAGAAATAAGAATTTATGGGATATCGATTATCTATACAATCAAAAACAAATATTTCTCTTTAAAATAACCTATACGTTATGTGTTGATTTACATGATATGAAAATATTAAATCCTAAACTTTCGATTCATGTTATGTATAAATTGTAAATTATACATATGATGATTATTTACCTACAAAAAAAAATAAACTTATTCGTTCTGTAATTTATTTCTTCCTATACTTTCAATTCCTTCTTTGATAAAGAACATAAGTGGATTTTTTTTTCTTACCTTTTATATCACACTCAGGCGTTAGAGAACAACAATTATCATGAAGAGTGTTTTTCATGTTTTCAATAAAAAGTATACTTTTAAATGGACTATTAATTGGTGTATCTTTAAAAAAAACGAAAACAATAACAATAATGAATAGAATATATATTTTTAAAACTTTACTATTTTTATATATATCTTCATAGTTTGATAAAATATAATTTGATGTTTGTTGTAATATAACATTATTATCACCTTCAAATGTACATGATGGATCATTATCATTTCGAATATTACCGAAACCAGTTGCTATCAAAAGAAAAATCAATTTAATTAAAAAACCAATTTCATTATATTTTTTTTATTCATTACCATATAAATAACCATGACCACCACATGCTTCTCGACACTCTTGACATGCTTTTTGTGTATTCCAAGTACATATGGCTTTACATGAACATGATAAAGCATGAAGTTCTCTACCCATATATGCAAGAAGATCTTGATCATCTTCATCATTTGACATTGATAAGGCATAAAAGTCAACTAAATTATCAAAAACTGATAATGCTAAATGTCGATAAACATAAAGTGATGCAACTATTGGTATTAAACGCCAATTCTGAAAAGAAAAAAGAAAGAAATTAAAAAAAAAATTTTGTCTTTATTTGTTTATTTTAAAATTTAATACTTGAGTTTGATATTCAATAACAGGTATTTCTACACCAGGTAATGGTCCAAATTGTTTTCGTACACATGAATAACGAATAACAATTGTACAACAATTAATTAATAAACCAATGGTTAAACTACTGATGCCAACACGACCTGATGAAAGTGCACCAAGACTTGCACCGAATCGTTTATTGGATGTCTATTAACAATAGACATAATTCAAAAATCAATGCAGTTAAATCAACAATTATTTTTCAAAAAAAAAACAGAACTATTTGTTAATCAATTTCTTCAATGATAGTTAAAGATGAAAATTTATATGAAAAAAATTCCTCATAGGTTGATGATCAATAATTGAAATATTAAAATTCAATTATCAATATTAATTAAGTCAAAAATATTAACCATCTTTCTTTCAGAGAAATATAAAACCTAAAAAGACTTTTTCTTTGCTTAGTACACGCTAGAAAAATGATCACGCACAACTTTGCTCATAAGGAATGTGCGACGTTTAAAACCTTGATTATTTATTAATCAAAATTTTAATGTAGAAAGTAGAATATTCGTTTAAAAGAAAAACATACTAATTACCTTAAATTGAGTTTTATAAGTTCCATCAGGTAAAACATCACCATGTTTATTAAGTAAATTTTCTCTTGGAATTCGATAATTACGAAAAATTAAAAACCTAAAATTTTCATGTTTGTTTTTTTTTGTTTCATTAAATTTTACAATGAATAAAATTATTTTCATACCCATTATCAAGACCATTCCATCCACATTTAGCACCAATATCACCAGCTTCAATACCATCATATGTTTTATATGTTAATGGATCACTTTAAAAAAAAAAAAGGAAAGTCAATTTTTCAAAATTTACGATCAACAAATATTAAATATCTACCGAATTGGTACAACAAATGGATGAAGACCATAACAAGTGTTTTTTGTATAAAGTTGTGCATAAACAACAGCATGTGTTGCTTGATAACCTAAATTACTAGAAAAATTATTATTTTCTAATATAAAACAATATAATATCATATAACATACCCAACCCAAAATTTCATTGCTTCAATATCAGGTGTATTTAAAACAAATTCCTATAATAAATATTTTTTCTTTTTAAATCAAAACAATTAATTATTACTTGAGTTGTTAGATCATATGTTGCTGTTGTTCGCATTTCTTTTGTATTACTACCATGTGCTAACTCTGTTAAAGCAAAACAACCACAAATCTAATTTAAAAGAAAAAACAAAAAAAAACAAAAATTTTATTTCATCAAAGCTAAAAAAAACAAGGAAATGATAAATTTCTATTACTTGATGATTTTGATCTAAATTTAAAATATATTCATGGCGTTGTGTACCTAATGTTCGAACTGTTTCACGAAATAGTGTCATTGAAAGTGTATATTTAGCATGACATGATGCATCATACATAGCTAAACATTGTTCAAGAATAATTTTATATCGTGGATTATCAAACATTTCATCATCAGTTAATAAATTTGCTTTGATTAATTCTTTTGAACGTTGATATGTTAAATATTTATATTCATCAATTGTTATTGGAAATTGTGGTTGACGAAATATTGGTTGAGAATCTAATACTGACCAAATTTTTGTCTAAGATGATATAATAAAATAAAAATTAGATAGCAAGAAGAAAAACAAAAAAAAAAAGAAAAAAATTTCAAATACTCGATAAGTTTGTGATGGTTCATCTTCAAATATATTTCGCATACGTTTAGTACAAAACGATGCTCGACTACGATATTCATCAAGCATGATAATACTTGTTTGAATATACGAATTCTAAGAATAGAAATATATATTTTTATAAATAAATATAATTAATTGTCGAATCATCAAGGAATCTTATTGGAGTTTTTCTTTTAACTAATCAAACAAATAGTTTTTAGAAAATATAATTAAATAATTATTTTTATATAAAAAGAAATTTTCTTAAAAATTATTATTGTAGGAGGAAGTTTATTAAAGATGTCACTAATTGTGATCTCATTTACTGAACTTGACAAATGTGAAAGAAGGTATTGATGTCAGTATGCAAGTTGATGACCTGAGTATTTAACGTTTTAGATAAGAAAGTTTGAGTTTTATGATAGTGTAACCTCAGTCATATGTTTGTATGAGTTTATGAAACATTTTATATTTATTAATGACATTTTCCACTTGCACGACTAATTCTATCATTAATGTAGAATCTTTTCAAATCTTTTATGTTGAAACTCATGCTTGAATAGAATTCTATAATGATCTTTCTTTGTCTGTTGCGGAAATAATAAGGTTAGTTGATATCAGTGAGAAATCTTTCGTAGTAT